TTCAGCGACGATCATTGCCTGTTGTCGGCTTCCGCGGATCAGACGGCACGTATCTGGGATGTTCACAATCAGATCGTGCAGCACATCGAGGTAAGTGACCACGCGGGACCAAAACCTTGAATAAATGTCAATATAGGAAAATTCACGTTATAAATTTGAAATAAATTTATTACAGATGCTGCCGCATCCTTCGTATGTTTATTGCGCCAAGTACGGTCCCGACAATGCGACGATCATAGCAACTGGATGTTACGATCGAGTAGTTCGCATCTGGGCGAACGACAGGAGGTCAAGGAAGCGAGAACTGAATCAGGAATTAGAAGGTCACGAGGGTTTCGTCAATTCCATGGTCTTTCAGAAGAATGGTAATTTGATTACCGCCGACAGCGTAGGACTGATAATCCTTTGGACGTTCCGCAGAGATAATAGGATGCCGTCAAAGAGGATGGGATGCATCTCAAGGAAGATAAAAATTCGCGAGATCGAAGGTGTCATTATCAACACGATCGTTCTGCATCCCCTCGAATCCAGGCTCCTTGTGCATTCGAGAGACAACGGCCTGCGAATGCTGGACCTTGCGACCGGAGTGGTGTTACAAAAGTATAAACGATTGAACAATCAAAGGCACGTTGGACGAATACTATGCATTCTTCGTACTCGCGTTTTCAAGCATCGCGACTAACTTTCTTTATATATCCTGTACAACATACGAGGACAATTTAGCATTATCGAATCTCTTTTCTTTCTCTGTCACGCTCTGCCTACTTTCCTTAACTTCTTGGTATTTTTTGGCATATTAATTTCTTTCTTTCATCTTATTCATCTCCCCAGGTAGCCAGTATATTCAAGCAATGTATGGAAATAAAATGCCAGCAACTGATGCCAGCTTCCTAGCTCTTCGCTAGAAATATGAATTCAATGTTTGAGTGACTTAAGTACAGCTAGCATAATGTTAATATATTGTCGTAGTTGAGTGCACAGCTAGAGAGAGAACACATTGAATGGGCATACTGTTAACAAAGAGTTAGCATACGTTATTTTCAATTTTCTAACAGATATAAACATGGTATATCTATTACATCTGGTCAAGCACTTAATGGTAGCATAATGTGAGATCATGCAAATGTATTATTTCCGACATCAAATGCTAGCAAACAACAGCACAATAGACGACATAAATGCATAGCAAGATGCTAGCATTTTTGTGCAATACAAAAGCAACTTGTGCACACTGGCTATCTGGGTCTTTTCATTTTTACTTCATCTTCTTTCAACATATGCTCCAATGTTATTTTAATTTAAATTCATTGTTCACTGTATAACCCAGTATTTCCTGTTCTCTCTCTCTCTCTCTCTCTCTCTCTCTCTCTCCCTCCCCCCCCCC